CACATACAGACCTGTCACAGTGAGCAAAAGCGCATATTGTTGAAAGATCGTCCCCATGTGTGTGTGTGTGTGTGTGTGTTCGGAAGCGAGTGAAATTTATCACTTTCTTTCAACTCGGAAATCAGGAAAGTTGGAGAGCTGAAATCTTTGAGGCATATGGGGGCTCAGCTGCTACGTTTTGGTCACACGGCCATAATATCACGATTCGGAATATATGATGATAGTGAAGATAAAAAGGGGTACGGCTCGCAGAAACTCGGCCGAATTCTCAAGTCCCAATGACGAAAAAGAGAGGCTCAAAAAGGCTGAAGATATGTCCTAGACTAATTGAAATAGCATCAGGGATTACCACATCAGCAAATCATTGGCAAATATGCAAAAATTCTCTACAATCAGTCTGATTTATTAAAATCTGAAGAAAACTGGATAAAACAAAGCAGACACCTTTATCTCCTGATGACGTCGCACTACTGCCCGATGCTGCTGCAGCATTTGTTTCTGTTTTTGGTGCGCTAGCGGATAATTCACTGGTCGCTTCAACTTTGATCCGCGACACTGGGATTTCAATCGCTGACGACAGTGCAGGCGACTTTAATTCTTCCGGATCTATGGATACCAAACGAGGCACCGACACATCACCGATAATAACCCGCAGATAGAGACCCTGCAAAATGAGACTTTTCGCCATCAGCAGGCATCTGCTGTTGAAAAATATTCACCCTGAACTACTTTCACGGTTAAATGTTCATATCGTCACACATGTGACTAGCGTTGGCAACCCCTCTAGTTTCAAGTCTCTGTAGATTCAGACAGAAAAACACGTAATATTGGTACAACAGCACTTCTGGACTTTTCACGTTAGAAAGTTTCGGGAATCTCTATAAATTCAAATCGATGTATACATGATACAAGCACAGCGGTACTGTTGAATTCTTCGCATATATTTTTTCTACATTTTATTCGCTCTTATTTCACTGCACTAAACACTACATACTCATTTCAAAGTAAATCTGATCTCAATTTTTAAATCACAAGCTAACTGTAAAACGGCAGACAGCGCATGTCTGGAGATGAAGAAAATACCTCAAGTTTTCCCTCATAGAAAACCGCGTCTATTCCTACTTCTTCATGACCCTCACCTCCTTTACCATCTTCAAAATGGCGTTTACTTTTTCCTCACTCAAGCAATCGCCAGTAGAACCAAGCACCTTCCGTTCCCCTTTCCCCTTATCGAATCCCAGATCCTTTCATAAAATAGAGTTTTCACCGTCCTACCTCTGGTTATTCCTGTTG